TACCTTAGAATGGAATGGGACMAGCCTGAGGCCCTGGGGAGGGTGAGAAGTCACTAAGAGTTGAGTTTTCCAAGGCTTCTGGGTGCCAGTGAAGCAGAACAGGGCTAACAGCAGAGAGAAGTCTCTGAGGTACAATCTTGAGCTTTGTTGCTTGAGCCAGACTGCCTATAGCTCAGTTTGGAGACCCTGTGCAAAATCTGTTGGCTGCCGAGCACACAGCCCTACCTCCTGTCACCTAGTCTCTTTTATCTGGATACTCAGGCCACCCCTGCCTTTATCCTGGACTTGTCCTATTTGGATCTAGCTGGAGGAATGAGAGGTGTTTTTAGGAAAAGAGAATAAGCATCAATTGAAAAAAAAATTCGGAGCCAGATGCGAAATTAAATGTAAAATTGACAGCTCCCTTTGTTGTCGGCTGTAGTCGTCAGAAGCATAGACACCAAACAAAAGAGGAGTTGGAGTCGCCATGTGGAGCAGGGTCTCACAGCTCTTGGGGTTGTGTTCTGGTTGCCGGGAGAGGGACTAGGTAGGACAAAGCAATGGGGATGCAGAGGTGAGACTCGGCCCATTTTCTCATCAATGCAGGAAGTAATATGGRAATCTGATATGCTGGGTGGAGATGACATTAAATAATAACTGTGGAAGAGGTTTGTTGGCTATATGACTGCACATGACTGCACAAGGGACTTGGATGGGGCAAGGGCTTTGTTCCTTTGAACATAGAAGGTCTAGGACAAATAGCACTGCTGGGCAGCTTTGTGCCACAGTGAGAAGTGGGAATTCAAGCAGACTTGCTCCTGTGTGGGGTGCTCTGCTCATTATCTGCATATTCCAAGGGTGCCCAAGGCCCGTCCTCCACATCCTCCCAGTCCCTTCTGCCAAACTTTGCAAATTTTATCGACTTGAAGCAGTACCCCTGACTGATCTCCTAGTCTGCTCTGACTTCAGAGTTCCTGAAAGGCTACAGGGACGCTAGGGAGTTGAGCGCTGACCCAAGGCTTCATAGCACTGCAGGCAATAGCTGAAGCCCTGGAGTGTGCCCTGGGCCATTGAAAGGGCTATGGGGTGAAATTAGTTCCTGTGATATTAGCTATGCTCGCCTGGGGGAGAGGGATGCTTTCTGGGGAGCAGGCAGGTCATTCTGAGGTCAAAAATAAGAGAAAAAAATCTGAACTAGAGCCCATTCCTTCTCCCAGAGGCCCATGGATTGAGCTAAACCCCAGTTCAGGATAGTCCATGAGGGACTGGGTACACTCTAGGACCAAGGGTGTGTCTGAGTGGTACTTGTTTGTACTGGGATTTGGTCTAGAGTTGAGGACAGGGTCAATCTGTGATGAGGATTAAGGGTCAGTCTAGGATTTGGTTCGGGGGGTCTGTTTTAGGTTCAGGGCAGGGTTTGGATCAAACTGAGGACTGGATCAGGGCATATCAGAAGTCCACCTGAGGCTGATGAAAGAATATTCTTCAATGAGATCGCACTGGCAAAGATGGTGGCTGGCCTTGCTCTGACCTAGTCACACTCTTGAGCCTACTCCACAATCCTGGCACTCTTTAAATGCCTCCAGGAAGCCTTACAGAATTGGGGTACCAGGGCTTTCCTTTTCTTTTTTCCTAAGTGAGTACTCCTTGGGATTTGAGTAGAACGATGGTTTTAATTAGGTCATCCAGCAACTATTGCTGTGGGGCTGCAAGTCCCTGTGGATATTCCCTAGGACCCCACTTGGCAGCTGGGCAAAAGACAGACTCAGAAATGATACCCCATGCCCCCTCCCAACTCCTTCTCCATACCTGAACAGGAAGAGAGGCCAGATGATGGATGGCAAAAGAAAATTCACAAAAACCAATCCTGGGAGTAAGGGAATGGAGGAAGGCCATGGGCGGGTGTGACTTGTGGGACTTTGATCCTGGCAAAGTGGACACCTCTTATGGACTCTTGGCTTGGTGACAGGGAAGTAGGTGTTCCATAGCTCTGTGGACAAGGATCCTCTGTGTGTATGTGCCTTTGTGTGTGCTCAACATCTGCCTGTGCATGTTTGTATCTCTCTGTAGGACTGTGTTCATGTCCAGCTGTTTGGAGATGGTTGTCTCCACTGAGAGTTCCCCAGGGTCATCTTGCCCATCTCACCACCTCAGGCTAGTGCCAGGAATCTGGATGCTTAGGGTTCTTCCAGAGGGCAGGACTTGAACAATCTCCCTCAACCCCATTTTATCCCACTTCTTTCTCTGACAGGAAATGGGATAGAACTGTTGAATCTGGCCTCATTACATCTGGGTTGCCCTGATTAAGGGTCAGTCTAGGATTTGGCTCAGGGGGTCTCTTTTAGGTTCAGGGCARGGTTTGGATCAGACTGAGGACTGAAACAGGGCATATCAGAAGTCCACCTGAGGCTGATGAAAGAATATTCTTCAATGAGATCACACTGGCAAAGATGGTGGCTGGCCTTGCTCTGACCTAGTCACACTCTTGAGCCTATTCCACAATCCTGACACTCTCTACATGCCTCCAGGAAGCCTTACAGAATTGGGGTACCAGGGCTTTCCTTTTCTTTTTTCCTAAGTAAGTACTCCTTGGGATTTGAGCAGAACGATGGTTTCAATTAGGTCAATTAGCTAGAACCTTCTCTAGCTCTCTAGCCCTAGCTCTCTAGCTGTCTGTCTCTGGGGCCACAGTGATGCTGACAAGGACTTTGTGAGTATCCGGCCCCTAACGGCCTGGGGGWGGGGAAAGCAGAGTCTGAGGACCCTGAGGCGCGAGGATTCTGAGGCGCGAGCTCTTTTGGAGCCTACACACAGGTCCATGGGGGCTGATCTCTCCCAAGGAAAGGCAGTTCAGCAAAGGGGAAGCGGGAATTGCTTCCTCTGAATCTGTAGTACTGTAACTGTCCACCAGGTGGGGTTCCAGGGCAGAGAGTGAGAGCCGAGTTGACCCAGCGCTTGCAGCAAGAGCCCTGCTCCAGGATCTCTTCTGGCATCATCAACCTCTGAAGCGCTCACTCTGAGAGGCACAACACATTTGCGCTCATCTTAGACGCTCATGCACATTCTTTCCTAGGGAATTCTAAAGAAGAATAAGTCCTGGGTGCAGAAGAGGTGTTAAAAAGGGAGGGTAATTTGGTTWATATGCACACTGCCCTAAACTAAAGGTGGGATGTCTAGTCTTTCTCTGGGAGTGAACAACAGAGACCCAGGGGCTAAGAGAAACAGGACGCGCTCGAGAGGAGAGCTAGTCACTAGCCAGATGTCGGGATTGGTGTGCAGAGTTCCATCGTAGGCTCTCAGGAGGAGAGACCAGATGACGGATAGATGGATGGAGGCAGAGACAAACATACAGTACCAGAGAGAACAAACCTGCACACACACCACATTGTTCTACCGACGTGGGGCCGACGCAGGGTGGACACAGTCGCCCGCACACACAGGTGCGGCCACGGACCACACGCACACCTCACACAGGCACGCACACCAGACCCTCTGCGGCTGGAGCTGAGAAGGTGGCCGCGCTCACCCGGCTTGTTTATTTACTTATTTATATGACTGAACGTTGGTACCGAACTCCTCCCGCCTCCTGGTGCCGGGCCGCTTTATTTGTCCCTGGCGAGAGACACTCACTGGGATCAGCACTGGGGTTCCTCTGATGCTGCCAGCCGTGGACAAGAACCACGAAGTGTGTGTATGGGTGTGTGTATGTGTGTGTGTGTGTGTGTGTAGCTCGGAGGTGTTGGAGGGAAGGGCTGCAGCGTCAGGATCCCTGGACGCTCACGGGGTCAAGGAAACCTTCAAATTCTGTAGTATAAGAGACTTCTGAGGGAAGGGGGACCTTGGCATCTGAGGTTTGGGGATCAGGCATGGGGTCCCGGGCTGGAGACAATTGAGAGTGCCAAGTCAGGGGTCCTAGGAAGCAGGAGCCGGGGAAATCCCGCAGGAGAGGAACGTGGGACCCTGGACGCGGGTTCTGGGACTTCTGGCGCCCTCCAGTCGAAGGGTAACCTGGCCGGGACCTCCGGTGCTGGGGCTACGGCGCACGCGGGACTACTGCCTGAAGCAGGAGGGGGCCGGGGACCCGGGAGGGAGGAAAAGTGGGAGGGAAGTAGCCTAGCAGCCAAGCGGGCACTAAGTGAGTGCGCACCGTGTGTGTGTGTGTGTGTGTGTGTGTGTGTGCGTGTGAGTGTGTGTGTGCGCGCGCGCGCGCGCGTGTCTCATCTCGTCCGTCTGTAGGTGCCCGGCTAAGCGAAACGCTGCGAGAAGGAAGAGAAGGCGAGAGGTGAACTGAGTTTGATCCTGCGGCTGCTACAAGTGGGTCCTGCGCGGACGGCGGGCGGCGGGCGGCTGGCGGCGGGCTGCGGGGCGGGGCGGGAGGCCGGCGGGCGCTCACACGCTCCGGCCGCGGGCCCGGCCTCTCACCACGCCTCCGGCTTTGTGAGCGCGCGGGAGGGGGGGTGCTGGCGGAGTGCCCACGGCGGGCGCAGCCTCCCGCCTCTATATAAACACACGCATCGCCTCGCTTTGGCCTCAAATTCACATTGAGAGACGCTTTTAAAACCATCAGCCCTGAAATCCTGCTTTCTGCTTTCCCTCCTCTTTCATTTCTTTTGCCTTCCTTTCTTTTTTCCCCCTTTCTTCCCTCAGCAGCAACTCCAGAGCCGAGAGACTGCGTCCCCGGACGGACTGCCTTTTCTTAATTGATACAATAGCCCAGCTCGGGTTTTCCACCTCCTCCCCCAACCCCACCCCGCCTCACCCCTCCCGCCCGCCCGCCGCCGCCGCCGCCCCAGCGCCTGCCCGGGGCTCTGTCGCCGGCTGCGGCCCGTCCCGGCTGCGGCTCGCCGGCTCCGCACCCGCGCTCGGGCCGCTGCGCCCGCCTCGCCGCTTCGCCCTCTGCGCCCGCCTCGGGGTGCCGCGGCGGTTCCCGGGCTCCGGCGCGTCGCCGAGGCAGCCCAGGGACGCTGGGCTCCGGCCTCTCCACTCGCCTCAGCTGGGGAGCTTTCTCCCTCGTCCCCAGAGTTTCTGGGTTCGTTGGAATTTTTGAATTCAGAATTTTTTCTTTTCACCTAGGAATTTTTTGAATACTTTTGATAAATCGATCGCACTTTCCGCTAGCTCTCTGTTCCCCTTCTTCTTTTTTTTCCCCCTCGAGCAGGGGAAGGGGCTTAAGAGAGAGAGGCTCCCGCTGGATAAAGTTTTCCAAAGTTTTCCGAGTGTGATGGTTGCGGAGAGATCAAATCCACCAGCTTGACTCACGGCTTCATCTCACCACCCCTTGAGCAGCCCCTAAGCCCGCTGTAAAGGAACAAACAAACAAACAAACAAACAAAGTTACACCCCGAGTCGCCTCGTGTCTCCTCTCTTCTTTTAGGCAATCTTTCCCCCCCCACCTCTCTCCGCTCCCCTCGCAGCCTCCACTCCCCTTCCCTCTGTCTCTGTTTCGGCTGGAGGTGCCAGGACCCCCGGCCGCAGCCTCCCCTCCCCCGCCGCTCCGGTCAGGCCCTCCCCTCCCCCGTCGCGGCCGGCACAGCCAATCCCCCGAGCGGCCGCCAACATGCTCTTTGAGGGCTTGGAGCTGGTGTCGGCGCTGGCCACCCTCGCCGCGTGCCTGGTGTCCGTGACGCTGCTRCTGGCCGTGTCGCAGCAGCTGTGGCAGCTGCGCTGGGCTGCTACCCGCGACAAGAGCTGCAAGCTGCCCATCCCCAAAGGCTCCATGGGCTTCCCGCTCATCGGAGAGACCGGCCACTGGCTATTACAGGTAAGGGCGCACTCGCTCTGCTGCTCTACGGGGGTCCGCTTGCTGCGAGCGCGGGACCGACCTAGCCACGGGCAGGCCACGGGGAACGGGAGTTTGAAGGCACAGGTCCCCGCCCCGCCCCTTCCCTTCTCTCAGCCTGAGCCTCCCGGGTTTTCCCTGCCCGCCAGCTGCGTGGCTCCGAGACCTTTGGTGCCCGGTGCGCTGGTTCGGAGGATTGATAAAAAGGGTTCCAGGACCCGACGTGACTCCCAGGACTGACCTGCCTCTGTTGCTGGCGACCGAGCAGGGGCGCGTGGAGAGGCCTGGGGACTCCGCGCTCAGAGCGAGTTCGAAGGGGCGTCCAGACAGACGTGAGCCGCTTTCGCCTCTTCTTTGCGCTCCAGGTCCCGGTCGGCGTCAGCCGTTCTGGGTGTTAACAGTGTAGCTGGGAACCAAAAACTTGAGTCCAGAGAGGAGGAGGGGGACATAGCATCTTGAATTGCCCTCTTAGACCCGGGCTGTGTTCCTGCCGCTTAGCCAGGTAGTTCTTGATCCTCGCTACTGTGTGTGTTTTGTGGTRGAAGAGGAAGAAGGTAACCCAAGAAAAATGAGAGGCTAGAGTCTCAAGGGCTCTCGACTTTCGGGGAAAAGGGTCTATTTACTTATTGGGTGTGGACAGTTCAGCAGGAGAAAGAAACTTGGGAGAAGTGAGTGGGAGAGTTTGCTGTTAGAGGTTACCCAGTCCCGCTCTGGTGGTGATAATTGGGGTGGGGAGCGTCTAAGACCAGACCCAGGTAGGTAATGGGGAGATTAACCTGGAGTTAACCTTGTCAAATGCCAGACAATCGCTTTTGCAATTTGATACACACCAGGGTTTTTTTTTTTTGGGGGGGGGGCGGGGTACACCTCTGAGATATCCGCTGGAGGGGTGTTTGAGTATACGTATGTACCCATGTTTGTCCACTGGGTGTTAATGGGCCTTAGGGGAAGCCTGAAATCCTGAAATAGACAACCCTGGCGCAGGAAAGGTGAAGCTAAAGGTGAGCGCKAGGACCTGTAGGTTTAGACGTGCGAAAGCTTGGCTTGACATTAACAGACGCGTGTAATTTTCGCACGCGCGCGCGCACACACACACACATATATATATACGCTCTGCACGTTCTGAACCAAGTGACAGCAGAGCGTTAGTGGAGACAGGCGGGGTAGAGGTTCCTTTACCCTGTGGTCTCTGGATATCGCAAAGTTGGTCCCACTCTTATTTTGGGGAGGAATGTCCGTCCAGTGGGGTGGGGTTCACTTGAGCCAATCAGATTGTCTCCCATAAGAAATCCCCAGAACTTCCCCCTTAGGACCATACTTAAAGGGTTAACTGTGGCGGTGGTCTAGGCTTTTGGCCGCGAATTTAGAAAATAAAATAATTCACTTGGGCAATGGCTTCCTCCTTGTTAGAGCCAATTTGTGGAATCAGCCGTGTGTTGCTGTCCCTCCCCCATCTCATTTACTGACCCCCCCCCCAACAACCCTGGGCGTGGTGTCCCCTTGACCTTTTTTTCCCCCCTGAATCCTACGAAGGCCCTTGGGATATGCGTCCAACCGGCACAGAGTTGGGGAGAAGGAGACCTGCGCCTCACCATCCATGCGTCCCAGGGCCCTAGATCCCGTGGGGGGGGAGGAATAAAGGGGTGCGTGTTGGGAGGTGCTGAAGGGGTTAATGGGAGCCCTCTGAATCCCAGCGTTTTTTCGGAGTCATTTATCAGATTTTACGGGGGACCTCCAAGGGCTCTCCTTTTCCACCGAGCGAGCGCCATCTAAACAGAGCCCAGGGCTAAAAATACAACATTTTTGTATAAATTGGACTCGCGGCCCGAGCGGCCGCCCCTATGAAAGTCCTCTTTGTGAAGACCGTGGAAACGGCGGACAAATAACTCTTTATTAATGCCACAAAAAAACGCACTTTAATTATAGTTAGGCAGATCAGAGGCGGGGGGTGGGGGCGAGGCGGCGGCGACCTCGAAATATTCACAGCTCAACTTTTGTGTCAAAAGAAAAGAAAAATAGAAGAAAAGAAGGAGAGACGGAGAGTCAGACCAAGCGAGGGATGCAGAATAGCAGACGGAGGAAGGGAACCCCGCTCTCCATCCCCTCCTCTGTCGCACCCTACCTCCGCCTTGATTTTTCTTAAAGGGGTAGAGGCCGTCTACAAAGGCGTCACGATGTGTGTGTGTGTGTGTGTGTGTGTGTGTGTGTGTGTGTGTGTGTGTGTGTGTGTGTTGGGGATTGGTTCTCTCGACCCTCCAGCCTGGGAGCAGGACTGCGTCCCCTGCGGCCGGGCCCCCTTCTTGGCAGCTCAGGAGCTGCCGACTCGCTCCCTGTCGCGCGCTGGGGCTGGAGGCGCATGTGGAAAAGTGATTAGGGATCCGAGTTCTGCAGAGTCACTTTTCGCTGCGCTAGAGTGTATACACGTCTAGCTGGAGAATAGCTTTCCGTGGAAGGAAGGAAAATGAGGAGGGGGACCAACCCGGGAAAGGGGTAGCCAAGTTGTCCCGTCGGGAAAGAATGAGCCGGTAGGTCTATAAGTCTGTTAGCAGGCTGGAGGAGAGGCTGGACAGGTAGCGCCCCTCCCCTTTTCACCCGGTGCTGCCCAGGCTGGAGAAGGGTTAATTTGGGCTGTGGTGGCGAGCGCCGACGTCAAAGGTGAGCGAGACGCCCCTGCCCCCGCCCCTGTGAGGTCCCCCAGGTTTCCGGTACCCGCGCGCGGCGGGCTCCGCCAGCTCTTTCGAGCGCTGGTCCCGGACCGGGGCCCCGCAATCCTCGGCTCGCGCCACAGCCGCCGCCGTCGGGATCCGGTTACCTGCCCGGGTCGCCCCGCCCGGTCCCACCCCGCCCAGCGGGAAGCGCCTTCCGCCGCGCTCCCTTTCCAAACTCCAGGGCGGCGACGAAAGTCCGTCTCAGTTATTTCCAGGGCAAAATGCTTTAGGAAAATCGCGGCTCACGGCCCATAACTCCACCCTGAAGAGCCCGCGGAGGGCCGCAGGGTCCCTGCGCGGGCCACACCGGAGAACAGCGGAAACTCCAATCCCAGTCTCTAGTGACTGCCTCCGGGCACCGACCGCTCACCGCTATAAATAATCTTTGGCCTGCGGCCACCCCGCGGGGTCTCGCCAGCTCGTGGCCCGGAGCCTGGAAATATTTATTCCGAGAGGCTCACGAGCGCGGAGTGGCGGGGGTGGTGGTGGGGCGGAGGGTTGAGGAGTGGGGGGCGGAGGCTTTAGCTTCAGGTCCAGCCATCCGGGATACCTTTTCCCTCCCTAAAGTCATTACTAAAAAACAGCGTCCCGGGGGTGCCCCTGGGCCTCCCGCCTCCTCGCATTATTTATTATACTCTAGGCCCTACTTCCCAGTTCTGTGCACGCTATGAAAAATAAAACCTGCATGCGTGTCTGTGTGTGTGTATGGGGTGGGGGGGTTGGGAGAGTTGGGGGGTTGGGGGTGGGGGAGTTGGGGGGAGTGGGATCAGCTGCCCTGGCCGGCCTCGCAGACCTGTGAGCCCTGAGAGAGGTCTCTTGTGTGGCTCCCACAGGGTTCGGGCTTCCAGTCGTCCCGAAGGGAGAAGTATGGAAACGTGTTCAAGACACACTTGCTGGGGCGCCCGCTGATCCGGGTGACCGGTGCAGAGAACGTACGCAAGATCCTCATGGGAGAGCACCACCTCGTGAGCACCGAGTGGCCACGCAGCACGCGTATGCTGCTGGGCCCTAACACGGTGGCCAACTCCATTGGCGACATTCACCGCAACAAGCGCAAGGTAAGAGCTCTGATTCTTTTCATCTACACCTCAGGAGTTCACGGAGCCAGCCTAGGAGCGTCCCGACTCAAATCTGCACTCTCTTTTGTGCATGATGCTTCAGGACTCCGCAGTTCTCTCCCTAGACGGCTTTCAGCGTGAATCCAGGGCCTATGGAGGCCTTCTTCTGGTCCACTCTCTTGCTGGCCTACTGCGCGGCGGGCACCACCAGGCCCACGGGGGCTTGTTTGAGGGCAGTTTGGACAAACTTTGAACGTTTGAGATCAGGGAGTCCAACGCCTATCCTAGCAGTGCTCCACAGAACTGGAACAAGAAGGGGGCGGGGCGGGACAGTTGGCCTGCGCTTTCCTTTTCTCCGCTTTTCCTCCGAGAATTGCAAGGACTGATCATTCTAAAAATCAAACCTGGCCCTCCAGCCACAGGTTGCCTTGAGGTCGATGCAAGCGTGTGATGTGCAGGGGGAGCTGGGGACAACATGTGGGCAGCGGTTAGCGGGCCTTGCCAGAGAGAGGTACGRTGAGCTTTGGGCCCCTGAGCGCACCTTTAACCGTAGGGGAAAGGAGAGGGGTGGGAGAATAGCCTGGGAGCGGGCTGAGGATCAAAGTGCCCCTACCCCCAGTTTAAAGAGGAAGAGAAAGTGGGTGTTTATCCTGTGGATTTCCCGAGCGGCTGAATGAGGCGCAGAGGAGGCGAGCCAGCGCTCACTGAGCAAGCCTCCCCACCCCCTCCCAGAGCTGCGCGGCCACCGCAGCGGCTGCGGCTCTGAGCGCGGGCGGCGCGTGCTGTTTGAACTGCAGTAACCCGTAAGCTGAGCCGGCGGGCGGGCGGGGCGCCGGCCTGCGGGCTTGAAGCCGCCAAAAGGGAGGCTGCATGGCTCCCCCACTCCATTTTTTCCATTGGGTCAGAGGAATCACCCAAGTTTGGAACCTAAAGGAAAGGAAGAGGCGGCCTCTCATTCCCGAAGGAGTGGTGGAGCGCTGGAGAGGGGAGGGGCAACCCCCACCGCCAGCAGCCTGTGTGCGAGGTGGTCTCGCTGAATGTGGGCAATTGTGCTGTACTTGCCGACACAGCCCATAGTATTTGATGTTCTCTGAACCGCCTGTGAAGAGTAATTCTCCGTGGCAGACAACCGAAGGAAAAATCCAGCAGAGGAGTCTGGTGTGCATGTAACCCCAAGAGTCCCCCGGTAAAGCGTGTATTTCAGAATCTGGAAAGGGGCTCCCAAAGGCATCTCTCTCCCATCTGCTTTACTCAGAGCTGGAAGCAGTTAACTGCAGCTTGGGGACAAATGTGGGGAGGTTCTGGGACGGGGGCTCTGAGGTGTTCTGGAGAGTGTTGGGGAGGGGAAGGGGGCTATAGGCTTAGAAATGAGGGTTTTTCAAATGTGGACAGTGATTTTTTTCTCTTTAGTTTCTGAGACTCCACTAAAAGCCCATTCCAGAGAGTGAGGAGAGAGCTGAGACTCAGGAATAAGTCTGAGATATAAGTCTGCTTCATTTCCTCTTTGTAGGGGTTTGATGCAAAGTGGGACCCTGAGGCTTAGGTAGAGTAGGAGGTGAACCAGGTCAAGCAACAAAGAAATAGCAGGGCAAGGTCTGCAACACAAGTAGTCCTGCTCAGTCCTGCCCATTTGGGGCTGCTGGAAGCTGAGGTGGGGCTAGGTTACTGGGAAGAAGGAGGAGGCTTGATCAGGACCTAGTGTGAGACCCCAGGGGGTAAAGCAAGGCTTTCTGATGGCCCTGTTGCCTTGGAGTCCCACCTCTATCTGTCTGACTTAGCTTTGAACCTCCAGTGCTAGGTGGAGAAAGCATACCTGGAAAGACCCCAGGTTTTGGACTACTTTGTCCTTTTGTAGGCAAGGGGACAAGAAAGAGCACAGCATAGATGAAGTGCCAGAGGAATACACAGGATAGGAAGACTGGGAATTGGGCTGGAGGTGGGGCCAGAAACTGATGACTATGGCTGAGGGATCCAAATTCTCCCTCTTCTGAGCACTTGATCCTCTAGCTTCTTAGAGAATTTCTAGAAACCAATTCATCCTGAGTCTTCAGAACCACAATGCCATAATGGACTAGTTGTGTGTTTGCTATGTGGAGTGTGGCYGGGGGTCATAAACATAGCCAGACAAAAGGATCCTTTCCCCAAATCTCCATGATCAATGATCCTGAGTTTCCTGAACCACATAGAAAGCCTTGGGTCAGGTACAGAGAAGCAGGAAACTTGATCCTTGCCCTCAAGAAGGAGATTCTGGTAGACAGGTTAAGAGTACTCTGAGGACTTTTTTTTCTGAATACCCATGTTGTCCTGGAAAGATTGGCCAGTCTTTGGGACCCAAGGCCTGGAGAGTACCATATGGCCAGGACAGGGCTGCAGGATACCACTCACACTACTAAATCTAACCCATGCAGTAGTTAGGGACCTGTCTGGAGAGTGGGTTGCTGGGCTGGACTCTGGCCTGGTTAAGATGTACGTGCAGGAAGTGGGGCCCAGGTGTGCTGGGGCCAGGCTGGCAGGGATCTAGAAGCGTCACTGTTTCCATTGGGGCTGGTGGCCCACCCCTTCTCTGGGAGGTCTGGCCAGATGTGCATGGAGGGGGCTCCTCACTGCCATCACTGCATTCCAGGTGTTTGGCCTGGCTGCCCTGGTGGTCTGGGGCCAGCTGGGATAGGTTTGCCAGGAAGAAAGTCCAGAAAATCTTACCTAGTCTAATGGTATCACCCACAGAAGTCAGGCCCGTGCAGCTAAGACTTCAAATTTCCTCCATCCTCCTTTGGCACCCCTCCCCAACTCAGGGTCAGGAGTGTCCCTGATAGAGTACGTAGGGAGGGGTATTGCCCAGGAAGGGTAAATAGTTGGACATGTGGAGGTGAGAAGGTTGTCAGAGACATGGAGAAGGATTTCGGGGGTGGGGTTTGGGTGCCACACAACAGGATTGGGCATCTTCTCTTTTCCTTTGATGACAGGGCTGGGTCTCTTTGCACCAAGAAATTAGCAGCTTCAATGCACCCCAGACAGTGGTCCCTAGATACCCATAGGAATCTTGGAGAACATCTCAGAAGATACATTTAGCCGTGAAGCCCCTGGACTGGGGACCTCAGAAGTAGTCTCCTTGTCCCTTCTACTCAGGCCCCTGCCTAYAGAGCCTTCTGTGCCTGAAGCTGAGGTGGGGGAACAGGCTTTGGAGGCAGGAATCAAGAAGCACTTCCTACCCATCCACCATCCCTCACTGACCTGGCCTTTGGGCCTTGTCCTGGAATGCAGGTGGAGGTCAGGTTCAGGGACAATTCACTCCTCTCACAAACCCAGTATGTCCTGGGGTTTCTGCTGGGTTTACCTAGGAGTTTCCCCAGCAGGAGGGCCTGGGATGGCAGGATTCTGGGGGAGGCTAGCCCACACCTGGCTTTGTGAGGCCTTTGTACCAATGCACAGTCTCTGGTTGCACAGTCATATCCAAATGTCTCAACTCGGGACAGAAGGTCCAACCTGATTATGTGAAAAGGCGGGTGGCACTGACAGGCGGCAGAGCTACTGGGAGCTGTGCCCTAGTTGCCTAGTGTTGGCACAGAGCCTTTATTCTGCCAGCCAAAGTCCTTCACCCAAAAGTTACTGTAGCACCAGTGGTAGGGGTGCATAGGGCTGCTGAGTGGGCGGGTGGCAGGAGCGGATCCCTCTGAAGGTCAGTGGGGGAGGAAGCTCATGGTCAGCCACCAGGGTGCCTCCCTCTGCATTCCCTTGTGCCAGGCAGTGGGCAGGTGGGCGGGCTGGGCGTGGGGGCAGCCTCCTCCTGTTTTTCCTCATTATRTCCTTCTTCCAGGGGCGGGGAGTACAAGGCTATGGTGCAGATTGATGTGTCTGCTCACTCTCCCAGCCTTGGAAGACAAATGTGGCCTTGGCCGGGGTCTGTTCTGGCATTTAGCCCCTGTGTCAGTCTCCCTATCCATCCTGGGCTCCCCAGGCCTAAAAGAAGGAACTCCTTTAGAAATGCTGACAACAACCCAGAACAACCTCAGCATGGGCCTTACCCTTAGAACAGACTGGGCCCATCACAGAGGATCCTTTCAGATTCCTAATTTCAGAGCCCATCAGTGCTGGTAGAGGGCAGCTTGATGGGGTCTGGAGTGGTGGGAGGCACAGGGCTTCAGGKTGCCTGCTGGGTGTGGCCAGTCATGCCCTGCACTGTGACCTTGGGAAGCCCTTCTTGTGGGTCTCAGCTTTTCAAGGGGATTTTGTTGTGGCTGGAAAGGAGGAAGAGCAAGGGGCCATCTTTTGTGATTAGGGGCTCAGCAGGTACTTGCAAATGCTACCTCCCCTCCCCTACCACCTTGGTTCTATGTGTTGAAGAGTTAGGGCAGTGGGGTGAGACCATCAGAGCTGGAGTCCAATGGGGGACAGGCACTCTGTTCCTATGGACACAGGGAAGGGACATGTGCAGGCTGGGGAGGGGGATGTCTGGGCCCACCCCTCCCAACCAGAGGTACTGAATGGGGATGGGTGCAGGGTGAAGTCTGAGCCCAGTGGAAATGCAGGCAGCTGGGAGATGACTCCTCTCTTGTCCCCCTCCTTGGATATAAAGTAYACACCTTGGCGTCACCCCTGTGCGGACGGATGGCTGCCTCGGTGGCTGCCTGCCTTCTGTTATTCTTTCCATTCCATGGGCTTGGCTCTGGTGGCTTGGCCAGGTGGCTTGCCCGGGCCCCCACCYCTCCTGTGCAGCCGCTTCCATTCCTCCCAGTCTGAGTCACTGGCTGGGGCAATGGGCTTCCTCTTCAGCTCTTATCTGCCCATTTGTTTGTCCAGGCATCTATAGCTGCCAGCAGATGAAAGAGAGGTTACCTGGTCAGATGGGGTGTGGGGTCTCACAGAGCTATCCCCCTCCCAGGGGCACTGGATGAGGGGCGAAGAGACCTGGCGGCAGGGGAATGGTCAGGACGTTTCTAGGAACAATTACAGGGAATCAAAGCCTTATCAAGCTCCAGTGGGGCCCCAGGCCCTTGTTGTGGAATTAGCTCCCCTTCCCGAGGGAGGGAGAGAGCAAGGACTTGGGCTCTTGAACTCATTGTGTTGTTAGGGACACTGGCGAGGTTTGAGGGTTATCCAAGGATATGCCTTAAGGTGGGAGCCCATCCTTCCTCCTGCCCCTGTCCCCGCAGCTCCCACAGGGTCACAGGGATGAGCATTCCCAAGTCTCCTGGGACCCTCTGCCCGTGCCCTCCCCCCACACCAAGTCTGGTGCGTGGTCCATACCTGCAGCTCCCTCTGCAGAGCTTTGCCTGGACCTGGGCTGGTTCCCAGTGACCTTTGTCCAGCATTCTTGGCTCATTTTTGGGAATTCCCAGGGAAGCCCCAGAGGGAAACGAAGCAGGCCTGGCTCCGATGATGACTGTGGTCAGGCCAGTCGGCTCTGGGGGCCGGAACCCTCCTCTCTTCACATTGAGCCACTCCCGGGCACCTTCCCAGTGTGCCCGAGTCTTGACCCCAGCAGGCGGCAGCCTCAGACCCAGCCCGCCCCAACTGGGCCCAGGCCTCCCTCTGCCCTGGCGGACACCTCCGCCTCCGCCCGTCCTTTGTGGTGGGYGGTGGTTTCTGGTTTGCTCTGGCTTTGGGAAGTGGCTGTGTTGTTCACCCTGGGCACAGACCCAGGGATGAAACCCTGGAGTCTTCCCAGTTCCTGGGAGGACCCCATGCCTGTGCAACAGCTGGGCTGGAGGAGGGGCATGGACTTGGTGACCTCTGAGCAAAGCCTGCCCAGGGCTGGGATGCCTGCCACCCACCTTTGTGTGACTTCTCCACCTCAAGGGGGCTCCAAGGAAAATCGGGACAGCTGAGTATGAAAAAGACCTTGGAACATCCGGATGGACCCCTCATAAAACCAGTGGGAGAGCTAAGACCCAGGGCAGCAGGAACCTGTTGGCTGTCACTTAGCAAGCCCGAGATTGGTCTAGACAAGAGCCCTGATCCTCGCTTCAGTTCTTTTTTCAGCGGCTTCACCTCAGAGCCTGCAGGGTATCAGGGAGCTCCTGGTCTTACTCAGGACCCCTTTCCACGTCTAGGTCAAATGTGGACTCCCTTTCTTGAATTGCCTTGCTCAGTCCCAGGTCCCTCTGGGTCCTCTGTCTTCTTGGGTTGTCAGGGCCCTCCAGGGCTCCAAAGCCAGAGGAGGTGTGATTCAGCTGGCCATCACTAGAGGGCGCAGGGAATGTAAACTAGTGGACAGACAAGACTTGTCAGTGGTCCTGTATGGCTCTTCCTCAAGGGGCAGGGGAGGCACGTCCATCCCCTTTGGAAACTCTGGGATGGCTCCTCCTGGGTCACCATAGCTCAGCTGGGATGTGAGAATGGGGGCCTAGAAGGCACTCTCCAGGTGGCTTACGCATTGTTGGGTTTTGGGCTACTTAACAGGGATCAGCGTCTATTTGGCAAGTGGTTATAGTGTTCAGGTGCTCTGTGGGTTTCGAAGAGGTCACTTGGCTCAGCCTCACCTCTTTATAGATGAGGAAACTGAGATTTGGGACAGGGTGACTTGGCCACAGTCACATAGTAAGTTGGTGGATGATCCCTGATTACAGCTCAGGCCTCTTGGTGCCTGGTCTCTTTCCCCATCACCCCACTGTATCCTGGGACCTAGCTGGCTTTGACTTTGGCTGGTCCTGGTGCGTATAGCCTTTGCCATATCCCCCTTCCATACGCTCATTTTGGGGCCCAGGTCTTCTGGGTGATGGGGGCCCTGGCCATCCCCTACCCTTATCCCCTCCATAACAGTATCCCTAGTCTGATCAACTCTGGAAACTGCGGCTTCCAGTCCCCTCCTGCTCCACTGCCAGCTTCCCTACAGTGGCCTGGTCACTGCAAAGTTGTCCTGACTCCCAGTCTCATTTCCCAATGAGCTTGTTCACTTCTGTGCAGCACTTTCTGCACACCCCCTAGTTTCTTGGCTGTTTTCTAAGGGTCCTTAGTCGGCTAGTATTGGGATCTTGGGGCAGAGTCTCCTCCCACCCATCAGGACCCCCTTTCCAGACTCCTAAGGACACCATAGTGAAGGCTGAGCACGCAGCACTGCTTTTATTCATAATCCTCCAGGACCCCTGGAAATTCTCTGGGACCCCGAACCTGTGCAGGGTGTGAGTGACTCATATAGGCCTGAGCGGACCTAGGGGACCTCCTATCATCCTTCTACCTTTCAGCTGTCCCTTTGTAGCAGGAGTGGCCCCAAACAGTGTGGGCCTCTCTGCCCCTCACTGGTCTCCCTCCCCCTCCCTCTGCCCACCGGGAATTTCGGAATGAAAGTGCTATTGTGCGCGCCTGGCTGGGCCACTGAAGGGCCAGCACTGTTATTCCTGCAAACCAGCCTCCCATTAGCCATGCAGGGCCCAGGCCAGGAAAATGTTACCTTTTCCTTCTCGAGCTGACTGCAGGGGAAATTCTCACATTTACAGTTTGTGCGGTGGTTGTGTTTGGGGGGCAGGGGGGAGGGTGCGCGCATGTGTGTGGTTTGCATGGAGCCCTGGGGGCTCCTTCCTTGCACTGCCCTTCTGCTCTCTGACTTCACCTATGACCCTTCCCTAAGCTCCAGTGGGAGGCACCCGCTTCTACTCTAGACTCTGAGGGGTTATAAGTGAGACCCACAGGCCGTCAGTAAATAAACTAACACCCTCCCTCTCCTGCATACCTGGGGCAACTGTGAGTGTATGTGTGGGGGCTGCTGAGCCAATCACGAGGCCTCAAGGCAAGGGGGGTGGAAACAGGGACTTCTTGACTACTTAAGATGGTCCTGGAAGGTGCAGGGAATTAAAAGGGCTTCTGCTTGTCTTTATGATCTTTTGGGGTGGAAAGCCATTGTCCTCATTTCTGCCTCTGGACCCAGCCATACCAAAGACATGTTCATGGCCCAGCTATTAATAAAGGCCCTAGAATTCCTGCCCAGTGGTTGTTGCATGGGAAGTGGGAATAATTTTGGTTCCCAGGAAGTACTGCTTATTCTAGAATTATGGTCCTTCTTGCCCTTCCATCAGGGGAGTAGGAGAGCTGTTGATTGCTCTCCTACCTCTTCCCTGTCCAGGTACTCACTCATGACTCAATTCTGGGTATTGGGGAATGGGCCCCTGCAATGGAAGACAGCCTCCCTGCTCGAGCTCCACTTGTCCCACCAAGGCTGGAACAGCCACATGCCCCCAGACTTTTTGGCAGCTGGACTGCAAAGTCCCCAAGGCTTTGCCATCATGTGGAGCATGTATTTTTCTGGGGGCTGAGGAAAGAGATGATAGCCAGGTCACCCTGTGAGTTATGTGGAAGTTTCTGGCTTTGAGTAAAAATGCTTATGAATTGTGTGTTCATTTTGTCCGTCCCTGCCTGTCCCTCCCCCAGTTAGGGGAAGTAGAATGAGGTTCACAGTGGGGGACCCCACAAGGGCCCTGTGTCTGGAGGCCCCTGGGGCCTCAGCAGGAGGGAGAGAGGACGGGGTGTTCCCTGGTTGTGGTCATGGGATCTGTGCCTCCACCCAGCAGAGTGAAAGCCGGGTCAGCTTAGGGGCCAAGCTCACTGCCTGCTGATCTGCCCTCCAGATCTTCTCCAAGATCTTCAGCCATGAGGCCCTGGAGAGCTACCTGCCCAAGATCCAGCTGGTGATTCAGGACACGCTGCGTGCCTGGAGCAGCCAGCCTGAGGCCATCAACGTGTACCAGGAGGCGCAGAAGCTCACCTTCCGCATGGCCATCCGGGTGCTACTGGGCTTCAGCATCCCTGAGGAGGACCTTGGGCACCTCTTTGAGGTCTACCAGCAATTTGTAGAGAATGTCTTCTCCCTGCCTGTTGACTTGCCCTTCAGTGGCTACCGGCGGGTAAGCGCACCCAGGGCCTGGAAGGCCACCCTTGAAAACGGACCACTGAGACTGAGACGGGCACGGGGCACCAGACCCAGGGGAGAGGTGTCAGTGGGAGGGTGGGCTGGAGCCTCCCCTGGCAGTCCTGAGGCCCTGCCCTTTCTGTGGCTTACCGGCCCTTTCCCCCTCAGGGCATTCAGGCTCGGCAGATCCTACAGAAGGGGCTGGAAAAGGCCATCAGGGAGAAGCTTCAGTGCACCCAGGGCAAGGACTACTCGGATGCCCTGGACATCCTCATCGAGAGCAGCAAGGAGCACGGGAAGGAGATGACCATGCAGGAGCTGAAGGTGGGGTGGGGTGACTCCTGCAGCCAGCAGCACCCGCACTCGTCCTCTGTTCTGGGGCCTCCCCTGCAGTGGGTAGAAAGGTGCCTGGCCATTTCCTCCTGTTCTGGTCTGGCTCTGCACATGTGTTCTGAGCAGCTGTGGCTGCYGTTGCACCTGGGCTGGAAGGTGCTGGACAAGAAGCTGAGCTGTGTCCTTGCCCAGCTGTGAAGGATACAGTGGGGCCACCCTGTCTGCCCACAGCAGCAGAGGGCTCAGGGCTGTGCACACCTCTGATGTGCCCATAGTCACATCTACCATTTTTTAAGAGGATGCTGAAAATTGGTGCTTAGGCTCAGTGTCGGTGGCTTGTTGACGACACCTTAACCCCACAGAACCTCCCCGGTTATAATGAAATAATAAGTTCATTATTTCATTTCATTTCATGGCCACCAAAGAAAACACAGGTCTAGAGAGGAAGCCACTTGCTTGAGGCCAGCATCAGCCCTGGGGGAGATTTGGTTCTTTCTTGGGGTCTCCTCCAACCCCCAAGACTTCTCCAGTGGGTGACCCTTTGAACTCTCTTCCTTCCCACCTGCCTAAGCCTCACTGGCCTGCAGTCACCTGAACTGCTCACTCTGGACCCCGTGCACAGCTTCCCTGCACTGTCTGGGGTGTTCACCTGAGGAATGTCCCCAGACTCTGCTCACCTGCTCACTTGCCACGTGCCACAGACACCCTTCCCCATGCTCTTTCATCTCCTGTTCTTGCCCCATCTTTTTCCTTGGGAGGAAGGAAGAGGCCACAATGACTTTCCCATTTCACAAGTTTTCATGCCATGGCAAGTAAAGGACCYAGGCCCCTTCACCACCCCTCTGGGCCCAGCATCCAGATTTGTAAATGCAGGCTTCAGAATGAAGTGGCCTGTGGGGACTTTTCTGAAGCCTCTCTGGGGCCACCTCCCCTCAGTCTTCCTACCGTAGTCCTCTTCTAGGTCTTCAAGGATATGGTCCCAGGCAGCCTCCAGACCCTGTCTGCCCTTCTGGCCACTAACAGGTGTCCCACTTCCAGGGACGGAGGAAGGAGCCAGAGCCAGGAATAGGAAGGCCAGGGCTTGGACCCCATTATCTGCCACATGCATGGTGYGCGGCTCTTCTTCTGTGAGCTCATAGCACTGACTAGGCCTGTTGCTACTGGCCCAGGAGTCCAGCARTGAATGGAAAGTGGCCCTAACCTAAGGAATCAACTGGCTAGTGTTTCTGCCCTGGGTGGCAGCCGGGTGTCTCCTGCCCAGCCAAGAACTAGCTGTGACCCCTGTGTCCACGSCAGTCCTAAGTTTCCAGCATATGAGGCTCAGGGCAGCAGTGGGAACAGGCAGGGCCCAGTGCAGATGACCCTGTGTACTGGGGACCCTGGCACAATGGAGCTGCCCTGCTTGGCTGGTCCCAGATGGCCAACAGCACCTTTCCTCTCTGCTGCTGCAGGATGGGACCCTGGAGCTGATCTTCGCGGCCTATGCCACCACGGCCAGTGCCAGTACCTCACTTATCATGCAGCTGCTGAAGCACCCCGCYGTCCTGGAGAAGCTGCGGGAAGAGCTGCGGGCCCAGGGCATCCTGCACAGTGGCGGCTGCCTCTGTGAGGGCACCCTGCGCCTGGACACGCTCAGCGGGCTGCGCTACCTGGACTGTGTCATCAAGGAGGTCATGCGTCTGTTCACGCCCATTTCTGGCGGCTACCGCACCGTGCTCCAGACCTTCGAGCTAGATGTGAGGCTGGGCCGGGGGTGATGGCTGGGGTTCAAGCTGACCCATAAGAAAAGACCCCCCTGTACCTCAGTCTGATGGGGAGACAGTGCTTGATTTCAGGGAGCTTTCAGGCAGGAGAGAGACACAGCCCCGAATGCAGAGTGGGGAGAAGCCAACCTGGGTGTCATGGAACTGCCACACAGGGGAGTGGACCTGCATGCTGAGCAGGCCAGTCCTGGGGAGCCCCGGGGGTGGGGGTGATTTCTCTAGGAAGAGGCAGGTCTTGAGCACCTGGGATGGGGCAAGGCAGCTGGGCACTCCTGGGCCCTCCCTCGGCCTCCTCCGGTGCTCACACCCCTCTCCCCGACCCCATCTTGCTCCAGGGCTTCCAGATTCCCAAAGGCTGGAGCGTTATGTACAGCATCCGGGATACCCATGACACGGCACCTGTGTTCAAAGACGTGAACGTGTTTGACCCCGACCGCTTCAGTCAGGCGCGAAGTGAGGACAAGGATGGCCGCTTCCATTACCTCCCATTTGGTGGCGGGGTCCGGACCTGCCTGGGCAAGCACCTGGCCAAGCTGTTCCTGAAGGTGCTGGCGGTGGAGCTGGCCAGCACCAGTCGCTTTGAGCTGGCCACCCGGACCTTCCCCCGCATCACCTTAGTCCCTGTCCTGCACCCCGTGGATGGCCTCAGTGTCAAGTTCTTTGGCCTGGACTCCAACCAGAACAAGATTCTGCCTGAGACGGAGGCTATGCTGAGTGCCACCGTCTAGCAGAGCTCAGGCCCTTGCRCACCTCCGCCCAGCCCAGCAGAGGGGGTGGGGTGACAGAAGTAGAAACCTGTGTGTAGGAGGGGGCCGGAACCTGGGAGGGCCAGTGGCCCCCATACTTGTCCTCCCCCAGGCACCTCTCCCCCTTGGAAAACCTACCGAAAGCCAAAAGGGTCCCGTTCTTTCAGGGAACCCGGCTCCCCTCCTGGCTCCTGCTCTCTCCAGAGTCCCCCCACTTCCCACCAGCTTAGCTCCTGGGAAAGGGCCTGGCTGGGCTCTGCATGCCCGTTACAGTGTTAAGTGTCAGTTGGCTGTGCTGCAGTGTACCTGTGACCTGAACTGGTTCCCTCCTTTGTCTTTTAGTTGGCGGCCAGGTGRTTGTGCTGGGGGAGGGAGGAAAAGAGGCCCCCCTGCCCTGTGCTCTCTTCAGCACCCCACCCCACTGCTCAGACAGTGCTCCTCCTGCGGTGGCTGGCAAAGAACAGCATCCTGGGTAATCTAACACAAGTGCACCTGAGCTGGGAGGGGTTGCCACCAGCCCAGAGGGCACCTCCTACCCAGCCCTGCCAGTTTGGACATTTGAAATTACTATTGCTGCTACTAGTTCTCTCCTCGCCTTGGGGCACAGGAGCCCCAGGCCTGATCCCCAGCATTCTCCCTGGTGCCCCTGGGCAGGCGCACTGACATCCCTACCCTTCCCCCAGGCGGGACCCCACTGAGCCAGGCGCTCCCTGCTCTACATACCAAACGGAGGCCCTGGGCTTACCCCTGGCTCACACCTCCCTTCCTCCAGAGTCTGTATTTATTCACTGATCTTGGCCATACTGATTTCTGGAGCAAATATCTTCTCCACCCTCTAGCCTCCATGCCATCTGTCCTCCTCAGGACTTCTGTGAATGAAGAGGAAGGGGTCTCTGGTCAAACCCAGATCCTCTCCCCTACCCCCCAGCCAAGAACTGAACAGCCTTCCTGTGCCCCAAATTAACTTCAGAGCCTCACTCTCGGCTAAAATCCACTGTCTGCCTGTTGTCACCTGGTAGAGATGGGGAACTAGCCCATTGCCACSTCCTGTCCTGTCAGAAGTCCTGATCATGTAGATTTGGAGGCTACCACAGTCTTACTTGGCCACTGTTCACCCCAGTGCCCCCCAACTCCACTAATGAGTATGGGGCAGGATACGGGTTCTTCTGATGGAGCTTGAGGCCTCCGTCTTCCTTTCCTTAACCCTTACCCTTTGACCTTAGCCCTTGAGAAGGTGACCTTGAAGTCCCTTCCACCTCTAGGCCAAGCCACTATCTGCTTAAGCCCAGCTCAGGGGTGTGGGGAGGGGGAGAAGGCAAAAGCAAGAGGGGAGGAGGAGATACTTCCCCAGAGCTGATTCAGGCTCTTGAGGGGCCTGGAGGCCCAGGGGGGAGGCTGAGCAGAGCTGAGGAGGAGGGTAAGTGCCATTTGTCAGAAGGGATTTGGTTGTGGATGGGCCAGTCGGGATGACCTGATAGAGGAGGAGTCGCTCCCGCCACTGGTGTTTTGAGCATTGGCAATTGGGATGCCTCCTGGGAGTGGTTTTGAGGGCCTTTGGTGAGTCTCTAAGCAAATTTGTCTGTTTTCAGAATTTTCATTGCTTTCTGTGTTTTCCTTTGGCTTTTTGATGTTATAAAAGCAATGAATCCTCTTTAGTGCAAAAAACAAAACAAACAACTCAAAAGAAAGTAGCACATGAGGATCCCCCAACTGCCAGGCTGAGCAGCTCATGGTGTCTAGTGGGCAGACCCACAAAAGACCCCACTCACATCTCCCCAAAGGGACCCTGATCAGGGATGGGGTCACACCACACAGAATGTCCTATAATCACCGATTCCCAAATGTTTCATGTTTCCTGCTTTTATTATTATTATTTTTTCACTACTAAAAAATCAGTGTGGGACAAACATAGTGGCAGAGATGGTGAGATTTTTTTTTTTTTTTTTTTTTTTTTTTTTTTTTTTTAGCAAAATCCCTCAGTCCCCTCTTCCAATTCTGGGGAAAAAAAAAAAAAAAAACAGGCCAAAATGTGTAAAGACTCACCAGAGCTTGCAGAAGAGCTCTCTGATGGTGCATCAGAATCTGTTATCCACAAAAGAGACCACTGTCTGGAAGGTTCAGTTTCCTTCCAGTTGATCCCACTCGCCCTGAACTGATGGTTTCAGACTGAAGGTCTGGGAGTGTGCAAGTCTGGCCCTGGMGAGGGGCAGGGGGCTGCAGGGTTCTGAAAGGCCTCAGTGGCCTTCCCTTGGGGGGCTAGCCTGGGAGGAGGTGGAGAAGGAAATGCTGAGGGGGATCCCTGGGAGGAAGCAAGCAAGGAAGGATCGTTTGCCCCTCTGGGTCTCAAAGGAATAGGCAGAGGAGGGAGGAAAGCTCTTGACTGGCCCACAGGACAGGTTGCCACCTGTCAACAGCCACGCCTCCGTCTCTCCTCTGTAGCTCTGTGTCCAGGTGTCCGTGCCCCTGTGTTTGTACGTGTGTTTTATTGAGGTAGCATTAGATGGGTGATGTTTTCTCACTTACCATTCCTAACTATTGTAACTTGACATTAAAAAGACAAAACCCCACAAAACTCTCCTTGCCACAGGCTTGCAGATTGAAGCACTTTCGATGTTGGGCGCTGGCGTTTGTGTTCTGGGCACCATCCTGACCCTGCCCAGATCGCTATAATATTATTTTATACACAAAACTTTTTTTTTCATAAATGTTATAATTTTGTGTCTGTCTTTATAAACTATTATAAGTACTATTTTTGTTATAATTCAAAATAGATATTTAGTATAAAGTTTTTGCTGTTAAATATTTGTTATTTAGTAAAATATGAATTTTTCTCTATTGTAAACATGGTTCAAAATATTAATATGTTTTTATCACAATTGTTTTAATATTGAGAAAGCACTTGTGTGTGTTGTTTGGATATGGAACTGGTGCCGTGTGCGTGTTTTGCCGTCATGTGGTTTTAATCTGTATATAATATTCCATGTAGCATATTAAAAAAAATGAATGTTGTGCATTTTGTGATTTTGGAAATACTCAATGTGGCTCTTTTATAGGCTTCCATAATAAACCGTGGGGACTCACCCTTGTCTCCTTTGCCTCTGGTCTCTGACTTTTAGCCTTACTGAAATGGGCCTCCCAGTCCAACTAGGCAGGAAGTTCCTCTCTAGATCCTCTGTCCTGGGAGGCCAGCCCCCTGTTCCTTGCATGTAGGGCACAGAAGTCTGTGGCAGGGTCTTGGGAGACGTGGGTTCCCTTACAAAGGAAAAGATGTCTCTGGTTGGTTTTTTGGGGAGGGGACGGCAAGGCTGGGAGGTCATTCTCCTGACCTAGAACGATGTGACTGGTTGTGCCAGGTGTCTCTGGGCTGGACATGGTTCTGTGGACCTGTCCTTGGAGTTCATCTTGTTTGAGCAAGGACCCTGATGTCCATAGCCACATGGCAAACAGGGGAACAGGATTCCATTCTCCAGACTTGAGCTTTAGGCTCCATATCAGCACTTCAGAGAGCCTGTGTTATGATTGTTGCAGGATCAAATAGATCCCATGATCAAATACCTGGGAAATGGGCTAAAGAAGATAGGCAGGCTCTTATATTGCAGGACCTCTCTGAGCTTCGAGCCTCTCTAACGGGCAGAACATGTTCAGGGGACATAGGTTGTAGAATTCTACAAGCCTATTTGTCATTTTTATTGCACTTTGTGAAAAGCGCCTCCACGCCATGTCACAGGGCCCCAGGTGAGGGCCACCAAAGGACACAGCCCTTAGTGCTGAGGTACACAGTGCCCACCAGTGTTCTAAGGATCCTGGACTTTGGGTGGTGATGGTGGGGATACAGGAGACAGAGCCTAGGCCCCCACTGTGCACATTAGGAAACAAGAAGGACCGCAGATGTCCCGGCAGGTCCTAGCCCCTGCCCCGCCCTGGCCTCTCCCCACAGCCTGGGGTGAGAAGGGCCCACCCCTGAGCCACTTTGAGAAAAGCTTTTTGTAACTGCAACATTTCTTTTCAATACAGTTAGTCAGTCAGTCCCAATCTCAGCTGGGAGCACCCTGGCCCAGGCACACCCCAGGATGCAGGGCCTCGCCCCACCTGGGTCGAAGTCCTGGCCACCCAGACATCTGGCAATGCCACCACGCAGGAGGTTTAGCTGCCCCACAGCTTACTTCTCCGCCAACTTCCCGCTCCACCTTGCCCGTCATCACTGACCCCCCCAGCCCTCCCCGCTTCCCAGGGTAGAGGACAAGAGGGGAATTCCCCCATTTTCCATGAAAGAAGTCTTGGAGCAACCACGACAACCTAAGGCCACACAGAACTGGAGGGAGGGCAGTATTCCTCCCATGCCATGGGGCCAGGGGCACTTTCCCACAAGCCTCAGCCCCCGCGGGAAGCAGCCGTGAGAGGCCAGAGGGCTGGGGAAGGCTGCCAGGGGAGGTGGTAGGCTCTCAGAGTGTAAATTCCCTCTCTCCTGGTGGGACATTCTGTGTGGCTGCCGAGGTGAAGGAAGCATGGCCCTGGGTTGCCCTTGGCCTGACCACCCTGCTGTGGGATGGCAGGTCAGTGGCTGGCCCTGTCATCACCCGTCTGGCCCTGCTACTCCCCCGTGGGCCGGGTGGGTCRATGACGTCCGCCTGCCTGCATGCCCCCCCTTCGCAGCCAGCTGCCAGCCCTGGGATCTCCTGACCTGGAAGGTGAACACAAGCCGCTGTGGACAGGCAAACASGGACACTGTTTGTCTAGGGATTGGGGCGCCAGTTTGGAGGGAACTCGGAGACCGCACATTCTGCCACCTCCCAACGCTTTTCCAAAACAGCCTGGTCTTGGCTGGGCCTGGCTGCCCAGGGCCGCAGGGGGCTGGGAGCCAGGGACAGGGCAGGAAGAAGTGGGGCCCTGGGGCCAGTAGGGTGAGGTGACCAGAGGAGGACAGAGACAGCACTCTGGCAGCTCGACTCAGCTTGATGTGCTTTGGAGGGTTCTGGGTGGGAGTGGGGTRGAAGGCGAGGGAGGGGAGAGACTGTGTGTCTGTGTCGGGGTGAAGTGAACTCACCTGGCCTGGGCGCCCTCGGGAACAGCTTCATTTCTGGGAGAGCTCTGGGCACTGAGCACAGCTTAGACCCAATGGTGGGTGCAGCAGGCTGGCTTCAGCTTGGCTTTGCAGCTCCCACCCAACGGCTTGTTCCCTGGAAGAGGTTGGTCTGGCTCAGGGTTTGTCCTGCCATGGCTGTGCCTGCTCCGGCTTCCCAGGAGACCCCATTCCAGCCCACGGAGCCTTGGGCCCTCCCTGCCAAGAGGACCCTCACTCTCTTCCCCAAGCCCTGGTGTCCCCGCTGCCTCCAACTGGTTCCCCATCCCACACAGCAGGTGAGTGACAGGGGATCCCAGATGGGCTTCCATGAAGCAGGATGCTCTGCCACTGCCCGCTGGGGGAGCTGGGTCTGCCCTGGAGGCCATCTGAGGCATGGGGCGGGCGGATTGGGGGTTCCTTGCTGGCAGGAGCCACGTGGCCCAGGTGCTGGCCTACCTGGGGATGCATTCTCTCCGGGAGAGAATGTGGGTGTCTGAGAGGCAGGGGTGCTTGAGAAGTGGTTGCTTGGATATACACCCTACCCCTTCCTGGTTGGTCCACACCCATGGAGGCCATCTTGCCTTGCCTGGCGTAGACCTAACATACTGACATGGCTTTCCATCACACAAATTCTTCCCTGGGACTCTCTGAGCCCACAATAGCAGAGGCCCTCAGGCAGCCTCTGTGAGGACTCTGATTGGCCCAATTTGTTTTTTGTTTGTTTGTTTGTTTGTTTTTGTTTTTGGTACCTGGGATTGAACCCAGGGCACTTAACAACTGTGCCACATCCCCAGCCCTTTTAAAAACATTTTATTTAGATACAGGGTCTCGATGAGTTGCTAAGGGCCTCATGAAATTGCTGAGGCTGGCTTTGAACTGTTGAACCTCCTGCCTCAACCTCTGATCTGCCTGGATTACAGGTGTGCACCACCAGGCCCAGCTGATGGGCCCACTTTGAAGTCCATGCCTGCCCTGGCCAGAAAGATGATCTCCTCTGATTAGTCACCATGGTGTGGGATTGGCAATCCAAGGTAGAGGGGAAGGTGGTGGGAGGGGACAGCTGGGGTTGAAAGTACTCCAGGGTACAGCTAAGGCTGCAGCCGGGCAGAGCCAGCACCGGGGCAGGGGTGGGTGGGGGAGCCCAGGCTGCTGAAGTCACGTGCTGGGGTGCAGCAGAGACCAGGCACCCAGTGACAACTTAAGATGGAGACGCTCTTAGTGAATTCCCTGCTGCTTCACGTGAGGTTGTTTGAGTTGTTCTGATGACAGCTGCTTCTCCTTCTAAACAAACCCTGCTGTGCATCCCAGGGCTGCAGGACTGTGTTTGTGTGTGCGCACRTGTGGGCGTGTGTGCAGGTGATTTTCATTTTGACATATTATTGATTCACAACAGAAAAGCCTAGTACACGAAAGGTCCTGTGTACCCTTCACCCAGTCTCCCTCAATGACTCCGTGCACACTCAGAGTACAATATCACATGGGGATTCATGGAACCACCACGATTCCAAAACCTACCCCTCTTCTCAGTCGGCTCTCAGTAGCTACTAACCTGGTTTCCATATAGATAATTTTTTTCTTCTCGAAAAGGTCATATTAATGGAATCACACTGTGTGCAATGATTTGACTTTATTTTTTCCTTCACAGCATGATGGAATAATGCCTTTAAGAGCCAACCAAGGCATCTCGTGCATCTTTTCCAGTCTCTTTTGGTTGCTCAGTAGTATTGCACAGTGTACATGTACTCCAGTTTGTCTCACCATTCACTCACTGGGAGACTATTGGGTTGTTTACAGTTTGCCTATTACACATAGAACTGCAACGGGCATTTGTGAATGGGATATTTTGTGGACTTTTTTT